TTGAAGATGGCGCAGCTTGAGATGAAGCAGGGTTCAGCAATGCAGTCCTTTAGCAAGAACTACAATCCAACGGCTTGGATCAAGCAAGGGAGGCGAGCACTAAACCAGATCTGATTTTTCTTGCAAAAATCAGAATCAGAACTGATCTCTATCAGTTCAAGAATGGGGATCGAATTAGGGTTAGGGTGGCAAGAGCAGAAGGAGAGAGGGAGAACTGAGAGCAGTGTGTAAACCTAGAGTAGTTCGCTCTCTTCTATTTACATAGCTTAAAGAAGTGCACTCCTAATCCAATTAGGAGCTTCCTGATCCAAATCTTTATTTGGATTTGGACTCTTTAAGTGGATAAGACTTATCTTCTTATCCTTATCTGTTGATCCAAACCCATATCCCTATCCAAATTTTCCCATACTAATTAACTTGGTTCTCTTTGTATGGTGTGGGACCCTAACATTGATCTTCACAAAAGCCATATGGGTTCAGCTTAGCTTCTGTGACAAAGGCTGGCTGAATTCACTGCTAAACACAGTGAACCCCTGAGTCCATCATTATGGGCTCTTAGTGAGCCCAACATTTATACTAAATGGTCCTTGAGTCCAGCCATCTTATGAAGCCCCAAGGACAATGGTCTTAAGTGAGATTAGCCCATCAGGTATAAAAGCCTTAAATGGTCTTACACTTAACCTCTCAGCCCTTAATGATCAAACATTGCCTGACAAGAGAGGACCTCTCCCTCGGCTACAAGGTATAGTGTCGCACTCTCTACTCAAATGGATCCCAGGAATTAAAACCTTTTTGCAAACCTTTTCATAAAACATAATACATGTATACTTTCATATAAATATATTTTGCAAAACAAATCTCAAACACGGTTGAAATCGACTACTGGCAGTTTTTGGTTTCCATCAGAGAGAGTGCAGTCCCCAATCATTCACTTTGTCTAACAAAGGGGCTGATCCTGTCACTATGATCACCCACTCGAGTGAATTCTCAAACTGCCCCAACATGCCTAGGTTTTGACCCCCGCTAAGGATCTCACTGATTGGCATATCAAAAATAGCCCAATCCAACACCCAGTGCAGTACCATAATCAATCTAGGGGTTAGGTGTAACTTTCCAGTTTTGCCTACCAGTCTCCAAGGTCTAGGGCATAACTGGAAAATGGTCCGGGTTCAGTGTTTCAAGTAAACACACACTACATGTGCTTTGGGTCTAACCCTGGCAGCTGAGACAAGCTACCCCAACCGACTTGGCAGCACATTAGTGTCAGCCTTGGCAGGATAAACCTCCACAGGTCTATCCAACGACTGTGAGCATTCTAAACTAACACGAGTCTCATAAGTGTCCAATTTAAGGGTAATTACACAAAAACACACCAAATATAACATGAATCAATTATGTACTTTTATTCATTTACAATAAATGTCTAATGTACATCAATCTGATTGGAGCTAAGGGCATACACTGTCTAACATTCAGCCGCATCATTTCTTTGCTTCTCTTGGATTTATTTCCCCCCTTCTTTGCTGCTACTTTCCCCCTTGCCATAAGAATTCTTTGTTCAACTCCCTCCAGGTATTTGATTGTCTCCTCCTCCAACCCCTCCAAAGAAATCCCCAGATAATTACCCAACCCCAACAATTTTGATGAAACCCAGGAGGAAGCACTAAAGGTCACTGGTTGTTTACCTCCCTGAATCGGCTAGTTCAGCATCGTTCTACTGTTCTCCTGTGGCTGTTCTGCTATTCCAGCACCCTCAGTAGTTGCACTACTCCTTCTTGCTTCCGCCTGAGATCTAACAAGGTCTTGATCCTCTCCCCTTTCTCCGGACTGTAAATCTGAAACCACCATCGCAATTGGATCCACCTCAATCAGGGCATCTTCCACTCTCGACAAAGCTAAGTGATGAGCATCCAAGTGGGTCTCAACCATAAGTGAAGCAACTGGTGGAGGCAGAGGCTTCAAAGAAAGAGAATGAAAATCCAAAACTCCTCCACCATCCTTCGACTCCACCCACAGAGAACTTGACCGTTGGTTTTGGGAACCTCGGTTTACCCCTAAATCCTTTAGAGGCTGGCTGGACCATCCAAGGTTCCTGAAAGTCAGACTACTGGGCGTCCTTCGACCAAAAGGAAGCCTGGGCTCACTAATTGCTTTGGGCCCAGTACCAACACTTAAAATAGGGGGGGGACCTTGACTGGGTAGGAAGGGGCGAAACATGCCCATTACCATCTACTAAGTTTTCTTAGGCCAGATAATTCTCAGAATAAGGCAGTTGGCGGTCAATACCCTGGTTTTTTGGCAAGCAACCCTCCCTAGGTGCCACGTGCATCTCAGCAAGACTCTCCTTAATCAGACATTTAATGTCCTTTACTCCCAAAAACTGCCCTCTAGCCCCAGGATTTGAAATTCGAATCCCATTCCCACTAGACTCCTCTACCACCAAATCTAGGCCCTCCACTCCCTTTGAGATCGGATGGCTCGAGATAAAACTGAGCCTGTCACCTTCTTCTCTACCAACGGCTGCCGGGGAGCTCGACCAAGCAAGAAAATTCTGATGCAACTCACCTGTAGTCGTTCGGGGTTGGAAACTCTCACTAGTTTCTTCCAAGAGCAACGTTTTGGTAAAGTCCGAACCCACTCTCCCCTCTCTCTAAACACTCCCAAACACCCCTTCTCCCCCTCTCCATCTACAAACAATCGGCAAAATCTTCGGCCAGATTTGGATAGAAAACAGGACTTCCCCTGCAGCAACTTCAACCTTGTTCGAGATGGGATCCCCCCTACAAACCTTAATTCTGACCCACTCACAAGTAGCAATCTCCGGTGGAAAATCATCTGTCTCGATGAATCCCCCACAAGCATCACCGATATCTTTTATTACACTTGGACATCGGAGAAGAAGGGGGAGACCGAACACCCTGATCCAAACCGACTCCAAGTCCTCACCCTCAGAAAAAGGATCTGGGTAGGAGCATCCCGCATTCACACCCCACCAATCCAGCAGGAGTGGATTTCTTCCCAGATGCCAAGGCCCATTTAACAAGACCCATTCCGCATCAGCGCTCAAAGGGCAGATGAATAAGAAGAGACCATCTGCCGTTTTCTTCACTTTTACTCCCCCCACCTCTCACCATTGCTTGTTTACCCAAGTCTCCACTTCACTGATCCCCTCCCCCCACCAAAACCTCCCCACCAAACAGTTCCGCAAAAACTCTCTTCTTGCTTCCACCGCCTGAGATTCAGTGACTACAACCCATTTGTCACCAAACTTCTTCACCTCCGTCGACCCGAAACCAGGCCAAGCTCCTGCCGCCGCCGCTTTGCTGTAGGAAAAGTTGGCCCTTGTCCTTGCTTCTTTCTCCACTCTTCGATACCAGTTGTTAGCATCCCATCGTCTCTTCCCTCCATCTTCTCTTCGCTCATGTTAAATTATGAGCACTTAAATCATTTATTACTGCTTCGACCTAGTGTTTTAAAAGCGCAAGGGCCAATTTGTGCCTAAGGTGCAGGGCAAGGTGCACGCCTTTTTAGGCAAGGCACAAAATTACAAAAAAAAAGCTAAAAAAAAGTCAGAAAATTCAAACAATGCCAAAAAAATAAAAAAATCCAAAAATATTAAACATAACGTTAATAGAAAAATATAAACTTAAATTTTAAAATAAATGTTTTAAAAAACCTATTATCTAAAATTAAAATACATAAACATAACATGTAAAGCGTATTCAAATGAAAATTTAAAAATAAAAGCAAACACATAAAGCATTTTCAAGCAACCCACAATCTCTTTTTTTTTACTTAATTGCATTGCTTCAAGTAGCTAATGTGATGTTAAAACATATTGCATTCTTGATTCTATGAGTTGCCTTTGTACCACGCCCCTCGAGGCAAGCCCGAACAAGTCTGTGTTAGGGTCTAAAATTCTTATTTCTCACATGAAAATAATGATTTTATAACTTTAATTGCCTTTTAAGAAGATATTTTATTGCAATGAATGAATGGACAACATTAGCAAATAGGGGGTTCTCAGAGCTCCAGTGAGCACACAAATGGACTTGTTCTGGCTTGCCTCAAGGGGTGTGGTTGGGGGTCCGGGGGCGGAGCCCCCGGTCCGGCCGTTAGACTAAAAAAAGCAAAAAGTGCAAAATTTTAAAAAGGCGCATGCCTAGGCTAAGGTGCAAGGCACATCAGGCGCACGCCTAGGACCTGGGCGAGGTGCATACCCCAAAATATGCCTCACCTATGCGCCTAGGCATGCCTTTTAAATCACTGCTTCAGCTAGTGTCCTTTTTGGTCTACTCCTAGCCCTTCTAGCCCGTTCAACTCGCAACTAACCACTTCTTCTAGTTGTGCCACTTATCCATCGCAATGTCTGCATCTTTGTTACAGTCTTTACTATTCTCTATACAACATTGCTGACATTATAGTCCAAGTATAATTTTCAGTAACTAACCAACAAGTTTTGCATGACCTGAATCTTTAAAAATTTGTGCAATTAATTAAGTTCAATATCACCTAACATCAATTACTTGGTTGTAATATGTAATTTAGGGTTTTGTAATAGGTATATTACTATTTCCTATTACTACAACAATCCAGGATCTACGTTTTAAAGTGGCGTAATAAAATCACACCCTTGTACAGGAAAATCTTATACTCCCAATTGAATAACCTAATGCATATAGTGAATGTTTCTTTTCCTTAAATGTAGTGCTTAAATTTTTCATTGTTTTGGTTCATAAGGGTGTAAGTAATAAGATGGCAGATGGTTTAAAAAACTCATTAGGTTATACCTTGTGATGGACAACCTAATAGATGAATACATGAACATGTATATGGTAGACTTCATAATACGTATTTGTAGTATCATAACATAACACTGTTGTATCCCTCATTCCTCTTAACTTACCCTGCTTGGCTTTGCTTTTATATACACTGTTGTATCCTCATTCCTTTTCACTTAATGTAATAAAAAGCCTCTTTTTCTGATGACCTTCCTGCAGGTTCTTGTTGTGCAAGAGAAGCACTGTACTCCAGCATTTGCTGGACTTTGGAAACTACCAACTGGTTTCATTCTTGAGGTATAACATAAATACTACTCCTTGATGTTAAACTTCAGACCACATAAATAAGATAAAAGTAAAAATCATTTATGATATATTAATATTTTTTCCTATTTATCAGTCAGAGGAGATCTTTACCGGTGCTGTAAGAGAAGTCAAAGAGGAAACCGGTGTAAGAAGCCTGTACTTCATATCGTTTTTCATTAGGAATCTATATAGTTCTTTTTTTTTTATTTCTTTCTTTTTATATTGAGATCCATTGTTTTGCATCAAATATTTGGAAACTCAATCATTCGTATTCATTTATATAAATGGAATGCCATGTTGATTTTGCAGATTGATACAGAATTTGTGGAGGTGATTGCTTTTAGGTAATAATATTGAGATCTTATATTTGATGTCAAGTATTAGCTTCCTTGCAGTAAACATTGAATTGAGAAAGGGAAAATATGAACAGAAAAGGGTGTTTCAAATTGACAGGACATTCTTGGAAAATAAGGTTTATGTGGAGTTTTATGACCAGAATTTTGAGAATTAAAAAGACATCTGCCAATACAGCAATTCTTCTGACCAAATAAGATCTCAGATAGCTGGCTCCTTAACCATTATGGACCCCTAGGAAGATTTAGATACATGGAAATGCAGTGGCTGGAAAATCCTTTTTTTTATTGATATGTTTGGACTTATATCCTTTAGGTGATGGACTATACTGGTCTAAGTGGATAACAGTTCACTTGATTCCCATGGTTCTCCTTTTCACCCTTCATTCAGGTAATTCATACAACAAGTTATCTGATTTATCAGACTTGGGTCAATCTCTTATGCTAATAGGCTATACTGGTCTAACTTGATGACAGTTAACCCAAGGTTCAAAGTATAGATACAATATGCCCCATATCGGGCATATCGTATTGTATCTTTGAGCCCCCAATACACCAATTAAGGGGAGTTAGCATGTTCTAATGATTTTATATGTTAAAATACAATATTGTAATGCCGCTTACAAAATCTGACACCAAACAGATAAAAAAATTGGAGTTTTGATAAAGACAAAACTATAGATCAAGAGTATCAATACTTTGAACCATGAGTTAACCTGATTCCCATGGTTCTCCTTTTCATCTTCACTCAGGCAATTCATAGAATAAGTCATCTGATTTATATCAAACCTAGGCTAATCTCTTATCTGGATGACTCAATGTTTTTTTTTTCCCAAAAAGTGATGATATTGTATTATATTCAAAAAGAGGGAGTGGATCCCTCAACCCATTTATACATCAGGAGGATCAACAGTATACACAACAAATATACCAATCCAGAAAGTATTAAGCTGGTAAGATGACATCAAAGATGATCTGTTCCCAGTTATAAAAAAGATGATCCTTCAATCCACCCATAATATTAGCTTGACTAGACCAATGTATGATGGTTCTCTCCACTCAATATTTTATAATCACATTTTGAAGTTTAGTGTCTAAAAACGGTCATTACCAAATGCTGTCCCCAGCTATCTTAGTTCTATGTAGAGTGCAAAACCTTGTATTTTGTATTATTTCATATGTATTTGTGTTGTAGATATTTGTATTTTTACCCTTTCCAAACTGAACCTTAATTACTAATTTACTCTCTACAAATTCATTTTCAGACATGTTCATCATGTGGCTTTTGGAAAGTCAGATTTATTCTTCATATGCATGCTGAGACCTCTATCAACTCAGATCATAGTAGATGATATGGAGATTCAAGCTGCCAAGGTAAACCTCTACCTCAGATCAGAGTAAAGCTTGCTTTAAACTTCTCATATCTCTGTTAATACATCTTTCACCTACTGCCTCCACTCACTAAACAACGAGTTCATTCAAGTCTATTACAGCAGCACATGATTTCCAGCATGCCATTAGAACTTCATTACAGATTGTAACAGTGTATTTGACCTAAAATTAGGACTAAAGGCATTTGGCAGATGGGCAGGGCATAGGTCCAGAAATTGTTGCCTATAATCTGGCAGTTCCCTACAACGTCATGGTGTTAGTTTCAACCTGTTATCATCACTTGATTATGCAAAAATTTGGCTGATGAAGAACATCAATGGACTCATCGTTGTAACTCTAACAATGTTGCTAGTTGCTATGGGCCCATGTATTCACTGCTGGGGAGATCAAACAACCCTATAATGCCTCAAGGCTCAAGTTAGGACTCAATCATGCTTTGGTATACCATCTACAAATTTAGGGCATTCAGCATTGAATTGAATTGAATTGCTTGTCACATTTTCCAAAGCATGGAGTATACCTTATTAAAGCTGCTTGTTGGTTTCAATACTGCGGATACTGCTGTGGGTGGTTTAATGAAGTTGTATTTTTAAGTTAGTGTGGTTCCTGTCTGAACCAAAAGTTGTTAAAAGTTCTCTTTAAAGCTATAAATCAGGCTTCATCTATATCTTTTCTAGGGAAATGATATTTGCTTCTAATAAGATTTACATGTCATCTCCCAGTGGATGCCTCTTGTTGAATTTGTGGAGCAGCCACTCATCCAAGGAGACAACATGTTCAAGAAAATCATTGACATCTGTATTGCACGACTTGGGAAGAGTTACTGTGGATTATCTGTTCATCAAGTTGTATCAATGTTTGATGGAAGGTCATCATCCCTGTACTATAATGTTGTTGATACAAAAGATTCCAACTGTCTAGGCAATTGAAGACACTCAACTCCACTCCAAGGCCCATGTAATTCATCTTTCCTGTGGTTTCTGCAATGTGCCTCTTTAGTTTTATTTTCTTTTCTTAATTCATAATCTAGGATTGAACTTAGGACCTTGATGTTGGAACATTGGGTCCTCACTACAAGTATATAGCACATGACACCATGAGTGAATACCATTTGTTGTAACATATTTCTGAGAATACTTTTCAATGTATATAGTATATAATATACATATTTTATTGTATTTTGTTTGATGAGCATCAAATTAGCACTTCTCTTTGTTACCTGAATCTAAATTTCAACTTTTTCCACAAATACACATGGTTTATATACCTATGAATTTTGTAATCCCTGCTGAAGTACTATCCCACCTGATGCAGACATAGAAAGGAATCAATGGAAAAATAAATCACTTTTCTCCAGATTCCTTATCTAGTGACAAACTTGTAATTTCTGCTGATTTGGATTTTAGTATTTTCAGGAATTTAAAAATTTATTTCTAGTTTTTTTTTTTGTGTGTGTTTTAGGAATAAGGTTAGTCATTTTATAAGGGTCAATTTAGTTTGTATTCCTTTTAGAGAGCTTTTAGAATTTTATAAACATAAAGATGAAATCACTTTTTTTTTTTTTTCTTTCAGCCTAATTTTTAGGGGTAAAAACATGTCCCTTTGCATGATTTTTTTTTCAGTAGATAAGTCATCTATCCATCCAATGAGACAAAGATATTGTAAATCCTTTGTCTTATTGAGGGAGTTAGGATCATTTTACTAATAGGGTGCCAGTCTACAATGGGATTTGGATCTGTTCATTCATTTGTGTCAATCTTGGAGTTGTTTTAAATATGATTAGTTTTTAACTATAACAGTTGTTGTTAGAGTTAATTTACAAGTCTAGTTCCTTATTTAAGTATTAATTTATGGTTTTTCCTTAATTTCTGAAACAGTTAAAAGTTATTTTACGTTAATTCCTTAGTTGAATTTAGAATTTGTAAAAAAAAAGGAGATCCAAGCTCTTAGTTTATATTGAGTCTATAAATAGTCATTGTAATTGAAATAGAAAGGTTTGATCAAAATAGAATATAAAGTTTATTTTTAAGTTATCTACTAGTGTCGTCATCATCATCGTCATCTTCTTCTTCTTCTTCTCTCTCTCATTATCTCGCCTCATTAATTATGAACAATATTGAAAATGTTACCTGGGTTTAAAGCATCTACAAACACTAGGAACACCCCCTACATGTATCAACCAATACAGTCAGATAAATATTTGGGTTTATTAGCATTCCACAAGGATGGAATGACCTGTTTTGGCCCACTTGGTTCATATATTGGACACTATCACAAACTGATACTTAACTTTTTACAAATCAATACATTGACTATACCAAATTGTCATATATCCATTTATTCACATTTTTTCTTTTTCTTTTTCTTTTTCTTTTTATTTTTTGTAATAGGGTTTGATTATGATACCAAAAAGACATAATATCGGAAAAATAGTAACCAATCAGTTGGTATGTATCAAAATTCATGGGAGGGTTAATCTGACAAAGCCATACTCAAGGATTACTTATGTTGCTGCCAAAGATGGGGCTGAGGTCAATAAAGGAATTTTGCTAGTGTTCGAGGTTGGTGGGTCTGACCTGTGAGCAGGAGAAGAGTACACGTCAGAGGCCCCGGGTGTTATCTCAGGGGCGGAAACTCCGACGGTCAAGTTAGTCAAGTGTCAAAGAGGGGTCAGACCAGGTTTGAGACGGGGCTCAGAGCTTAGTCCTTAATAGCGAAGCAGAGATTTCTTGAGATTCTAAATGCAAGAGAGCAAGTGAGAGCAAGATCTCTTTATATTGAGATGAGCACCCCTTTTTATAGCTGACCTTTCCATGGAGTGGTTGGAGGTAGTTAGAGATGTGTGGCCAGGATTCCATCTGGCCGATGTCACGTGGCGCGATTCGAGGCTTGCCAATGACACATACATCACTTGCCCCCCACTCTTGATGCCGTAGTGGCCGAGGTCGGGTGATGCACCGAGGGGAGACCTTGGCCTTTGCCGAAGAGAATACCACGTAGCTATGTGGAGGCATCAGAAGGCGCATTGGACAAAGGCCTAGGCTTCAGTCGAAGAGTGTATCATGCAGTTGTGTGGAGGTGTCGGCCTCGACTGCTAAGGACCCTTCTTGGCGGTTATGCGGTGACTACTTCCTTATTTGCTTCTCGCCTCATTGGAGGGCCACAATGGGTCGAGAACGCAGGACCATGGCCGACACGGGTACGAGGCGTCCACGTTCGTCAGTTGTGCCCCATACGGGTGCTGCTGTTATCCAATGCGGGTCCGTGTGCGGGACAGGTGTCGGTGTCAACTGATAGCGGTTGTGTATAAAATGGTGCGGAGGGTCACCCGGTTTGGGTTGTTCCTGACCCAGAGTTGATGGATAGACTGGCTTGTTCCTTTGGCATCGTTTCGTCTCCCCAAGGTTGACGCCACGTGTAACACGTTGGTTCGGGCTGTCAATTCGACGGTTCCTTGGCCGTTGGATCAAAGCGATATGAGCCGTACATTTTCTTGTAAATAGGAACGTTGGTTGAGTGAGTCCTCACCATTTATTCGATCATTGAGTTCCCGCTTGTGATCCTAGAGACCTCTGCTACCAACCAGCTGATTCCTTAATCTTTTCTTACTCAAACACTAGGTAAAAGGCTCCTGTCTTTGAACCATGTCGTACTTGGACTTTGGACCTGAGTGTTATGAAATCCCTAACTTGAGTGACACCAATAGTCCCTCTTCCACCTCGTCTAGTAGCGAGAGTGACAATAGTGAATCCGAGAGCTCCCTCAAGTACCTAGTGCCAGGTACTGAGGGAAAGGGCCACCCTCTGAGGAGCCAAGCGTGACCGATGGGGAGGGGATTCTCCTAATGAAAGTACTGGCTCTACGAGGCCAAGGGCCGATGCCACGGGGAATGCCCTAGTGCTTCTTGATGTGGTGGAGCTAGAGAAAGCTGAAGAGCCTACTCTAGAGGAGCGTGCTGAGGCCGAAAGCCATGGTGTGACGCTGATGCGTTTCTCCCGCTCTGATCTTGACAAGAAGCAAGTGAGGGCTCTTTCTGAGATGCACCATATACTTGGGGGATATAAGGTTAGATTCCCTTATGTCGATGACCAGCCATGGCAGCCAGTTTAGGGGGAGGTATGTGTGCATGAGCACTACCTCCACTTTGACCTTCGTTTCCCTTTGCCTCCTCTCGTCCTTGAAATCCTCAACTACTACAATATCTCCCTCAGTTAATTTGCTTTGAACGTAATTAGGACCATAGCGGTTATGTTGGTGATGGCTCACCCTGAGGTGTGTCCGTGACCTTGAAAGTCTTACGGGATTTGTTCGCCTTAAGGAAGCATCCTGCTGGGGACAATTTGTGGTACTTCCAGGGCCGACAGAGTAGGGTAGTGGACAACCCACTGTCCGTCCACAATTGGAAGAAGAAGTATTTCTTTGTCTCCAATCTAGAGGGATGGCCCTTTTGGTCTGATTGGGGGATACCGGACTTGCTAGCCGAGAGGATGAGGCCATAGAATAATGAGGAGGAGTTGACCATGATGACTCGGATATGGATGACGGGGGCGATTTGCGCTAAGCCCTTAATAACGGAGGAAGTCTTGGTGTGGGCTGGTCTCAACCTTGCCCCCCTCGGTATGGACACTCCCATTGTCGATTAGTTGTGTCATCTTCTTCGTCTTCTTTGTCCTTCTTCTAACATGATCTTTATTTGTTGCAAAAATGGATGGTGGCATGAAGGACAGGCTCATGCAGTTGGCCAGGGCGAGCACTAAGAAGGGCCAGGCCAAGGGGCCCTCGAAGAGGCCTGTCGAGAAGGAGTTGCCTCGGGCGAAGGTGCCAATCGAGGCTGAGAGGAGGAGGGCAGCCACGCCCAAATGGCCAGCAAAAGCCCCTCAAGGTCAGAGGGCAAAAAGGTTGGCAGTGAGGGACTGCCCAACAGAGAGTGCTTCTAGAGATTCTCGGCAGTTGGGGCCTCACTTGTCTGACCCCGCAACGACATACCATTGGCCGCACGCAGGCTCTTCCACCCCAATTGGAACATTAAGGAGGGTGACCCCACAGCAACCCCGACATCGAGCGAGCCTTGGTGACGGGGATGCTCCCGACGGGGGATCAACACTCTTGGACCCAGGTGTTTGTCTAGGGGGTTCGGGATACCCTGCTGGACAAACTAGCCGAGGTAAGATTTGATCTTCCTATACTTGGTGCTTTACTCTTTTCTACTTTGTTTTTCCAATTGATGAAGATTTTTTATGTCTTTGCAGACGTCTTCTTGCGCCATCGGCCTTTATGACAAAGTGGAGGTCTTTCTACAACATATCCGGTTTTCGCAAGAGGAGAACGAGTAGCTGAAGCGTCAATTGGCCGAGGAGTGGGCCAGCCGAGAGGCCGCTGCCAAGGTGGCCTGTGGGGAGCATGACTGTCGAAAGAAGCTCGAGGCCGAGGTGATGGCGAAGAGGGAACAACTGAGGGCTGCAAGGATCTCCTTGGATGAGGCAAGGTAGAAGCTTCAGGAGGCGGAGCAGAAGTTACAAGAGGCCTCGATTCAAGCTATGGAGGAATACAAGGCCTCCGAGGCCTACAAGGATGAGATGGCTTCGTTTGGTGTCGCTTCATACTTGGAGGGCAATGAAGACACCAAGGCTTAGGTGTTGGTGCTTCTCCCAGATTTTGATGTCAGCCAATTGGGGTTTCAACCTCCAAACCAACAAGCGGCCAAAGTGGAGGGGCCAACCGAGGGCCAGGGCGGTGTTGAGCAGTCTACTCAGCAAGAGGCAGCCAACGACGAGCGCGTTGACATCGAGGCTTAATGAAGGTGCTCACACGGGGTCGAGGCTTCCATCGAACATCCTTTTTTATCCTTTTTCTTCATCTTTTTTTGCCATTCTTTTTTGTAAGGGGCTCGACCTCCCCCATCAAAGGCCTCTTTTTGTAAAGAAATGAGTGAACAATGAATGTAATGAACATACTTTGAGTTTTTTGTCAAATTTGTGCCTTTTTCTTTTGTCTTTTCTCTTTCTTTTTACGCAAGGGGCCGATGCCTCCCCCGAAGAGGCATAATTTGCAAAAAAACTCATAACTCCCTGACTTAGCTACTCGCGAAGGTGTTCCTCCTTAAGGTTGTTAAGCCGAGGCTGACTCTCGTTGTCAAGGTACCGAGACCCACTTCCTTAGCAAGAAGGAAGGGAGGCGGTTGTCTTAGCTTGCCTGGCATATTCTTCCTTAAGGGTTTCAAGGCCAAACTTGCGCATGGTCGAGGCCCTGCGAATGGTGCTTGGCCGAGGATGCGGAGTGCCTTTGCCTAAGTGAGGTAGCATTATTCATTTAGTGTGTTTGTTTGTCGTGTTTTGTGTTAAGTGGTGGGCCAATGTCAAAGGCTGCTCGTTAACTTCGACTGAGGTCCTGCAAGTTTTTGCCTTAGCTAAAGAAGGCGACTAGGCATGTGACCCTCTAAGAGTTGTATGCCTTGGGCTGACATCTAGTTTGAACGTATAACCTTGGCTAAGGTTGTGTGCTACGACTAGTCATTCATCCTAGGGGTCATGGTGATTGGAAGAGACAAGAACGTTTACACTAAAGTGACTCAAGTCGAGGTGAGAGGAACTTGCATACTTTATTTACAAAGTTTCCACTAGTCATATTTACATTATTAACAATACACTCAAATGTCCTCAGCGTTCTAGGTGTGAGGTACTAGTCTTCCACTCGAGAGTAGAGTGCAGGTGGGACAAGGCTTCTCATCTTCTTTGGGGGCTTGGCTAAAGGCTTGGTTGAAGGTGCATTCAATCAAATAGTCTGTTGACGTTGGTGCTTTCATGGTGGCATTGACCCGATTCGTACTGTCTCCTCGGGCTTGGCCTCGGCTTGTTGGTTCATCCTTGAGGCCAAGCCCCTCCCAACAGTAAGACTCCTCAATTCTCGCCTTTTAGCGTTGTAGCATAGCACTGTCTGGCAACTTGTTGGTCCTCCCTGACCACTCCCACGCCATGCTCAGTGGGGAACTTCATGGCGAGGTGATAAGACGATATGGCCACCTTGAGTGCAAGAAGGGTTGACATCCCTATTATGGCATTATATAGGGAGCCTACCTTCATGACTAAGAGCTCGGTTATTCTTGTGACTTGTTAAGGCCTGGTCTTTATTGTGATTGGTAGGGTTATCTTCCCCTCGGATTTAACAACTTCCCTGGAGAAGCCTACTAGTGGCATGTTTGCAGGTTGTATACGATCTGGCACCAACTGCATCTTCTCGTACGCATTATAGAACAAGATATTGGCTGAGGAACTACTGTCTACAAGGACTTTCTTCACTACGTAGTTGGCGATGGTGACGGACACCACCAATGCATCAGCATGGGGTAGTGAGATCCCTTACAAGTTGTTGTCAGTGAAGGAGATGTTGTCTTCTGGCCTCGGTCTTTTAGCTGTTGGGCTTTAGATGTTGTATTGTAGGGCGTATGCCTTTTGGGACGAGGCTGAGCCCCCAATGATGACGTCAATAACTCCAGCTAGGAGGTGATAGGCCTAGGGCTCAACATATTATTGTCGCTACAAGGAATAGGCGTTGGCATCGTCCTCAACATACTCTTTCAGGTGCCCACAGTGGATGAGGGACTCGATCTCATATTGGAGTCCATAGCATTCCTCAGTATCGTGGCTGATGTTGTAGTGGTACTTGCAACACTTCTTGGGGTTGCCTTTTTTGGGATTTCTCTTCATCTTGGCCGGCCACTTCATGTACTCCTCCTTCCCTACTTGCATTAGTATATGTGTTCGGGAGGTGTTTAGAGGCGTATATTTGTTGAAGGAAGGGGCCATCGGTCTCTTTTCACTATCTTTGTTGGTGTGGTTGTAGCCACGACCTTCCCTGTCCTTCCTTTTTTTGTTTGTGGCCCCTTGGTCGAGTTCGGCCTCTGTTTCTTGGAGGCGCTCACCGGCCTCAACCTCCTCGACAGCTATGTACTTTTGTGCTTTCTTCAAGAACTCGGCCTTGTTCTTGGGTGGAGTCTTGGAAATGGACCATTTGAGGGGTCCGGGCCGAAGGCCGTTGATGGCCACTTGCATAGAGACCAAGGGGTCTAGATCCCTTACTTCGAGATCTTCTCGCTTGAACCAATCAATGTATGCCCGAAGACTTTCTCCGCGCTTCTACCTGATTGACATTAGAGATGCAACAGTCTTTTGACATTGTTGACTGCTAATGAAGTGGGAGAGGAATAGGTCGGCAAACTAGTCATAGGAGTTGATGGATCGAGGGAGGAGTGTAGAGAACCATCTATGTTCTACTCCCTTGAAGGTGGCTTGGAAGGCTCGACACATTAGGGCATTGGAGTATCTATAGAGTAGCATGAGTACCCTAAAGCTCTCCAAGTGGGCGTCTGGATCTGTGCTCCCGCTGTAAGTCTCTAGAGTGGGAGCTATGAAGTGAGGCAGGAGTGGCTCCGAGGCAATGGAGTCAGTGAAGGCATCCATTCAGGTGGACGAGGGGTTCTGACTGGTGGAGGCATCACCTTGGCCCTCCTTCACTTGCCAGATCTGGGTTTGGATGGCGCCTATCTGCGCCTAAAGATCACCAAGGCGTCGATCGATGGGGGTCTAGGCCTCGTTCACGTTCTCTCTCACACAGAATGGGTTGGCCTTGTTTCTTGAGTGCTCGGATGTCGGCACATCCTGAGCCTTAAGAGCTCGACGATCGTTGAGGAGGTCACGAAGATTTGACACTAGTAGGGGAGAGGCATAGTGTCAGCCTTCAGTCCTTGGAGGAGGACTGTAGTGGCCAGAGCGCCCATCCTGTCGTGTCGGATTCTCCACCTCGTCCAACCGTTGGGCTAGGTTGTCTAGCCTATTGAGGACCAACTTGAATTGGTCCATAGTAACCAAGTTTTGAGCGTTCTAAGTGTGGTTTGGGTTATCGGCCATGTTGGATATTTAACTAATTGAGTTTAGTTTTTGCTTAAAGGGAAGTCTTGAAAATACTTCCCACAAACGACGCCAATTGTTGATGCCAAAGATGGGGCCGAGGGCAACAAAGGAATTTTGCTAGTGTTTGAGGCCGACGGGTTTGACTTGTGAGCAGGAGAAGAGTACACGTTAGAGGCCTTGGGTGTTATTCCAAGGGTGGAGACTTCGATGGTCAAGTTAGTCAAGTGCCAAAAAGGGGTCGGACCAGGCTTGAGACAAGGACTCATAACTTAGTCCTTAATAGCTAAGGAGTGATATCTCGAGATTTTGAATGCAAGAGAGCAAGTGAGAGCAAGATGTCTTTACCTTGAGATGAGTACTCCCTTTTATAGCTAACCTTGCCATGGAGTGGTTGGAGGCAGTTAGAGATGTGTGGCTAGGATTCCATCTAGCCGATGTTACATGGCACGATCTGGGGCCTACCAAGTACACCTACATCAACTTATGTATTTTTTAAATTTTATTTGTTTTCATATTATATTAACGTATACTTATTTTTTCCACTATATCCATAAATTTACTGAATGCATCCAAATAGGTCTAATATGAGCTCTATGCTATGTATAACGGGCTATATAGCCAATCATGAGTAAGTGTTCATGGTCAAATCTAATTGATTTGGAAAAAATCTAAGACCAAACTAAAAAATTATGGTCTGAGAAAATTTAAACCAGATCAAACTATTTTAGAATTGAAACCAGATTGCCATTCTATTGGGATTGACCCAATTAGAAAGCCCAAATAATAATTTATTTAGTTAATGTTCGGATTTGGTTTTTGAAATTCAGAAAAAACAAAGCAGAATTGTAAATCAAAATTTCAAAGTGGGTGTTTGGGCACCAATGTGTTTCACAAGCGTTCCCTTTCTATTGATCTATCATGCAAGCCACATCGGCAAATAAATGGAATTGAAAGAAAATCGCATTTTGCAATCTTGTTTCTCAAAAAATAAAAAATAAACGTTTTTGTAATGATTAGCTTTGGAATTCAGGAAAGGAGGGATTTCTTGAAACTTTAAGATGTCACACAATTGTCATTATAAAATAACTTGAAGTTTGAAAAAGTTGATTACTTTTTTAAGATGTCACACAATTGTCATTATAAAATATTGGGAAGTTTTTCAATTAGTACCACTTTGGGCCTAATGCCACTTTGGTCCCCAAACTTTAACATGCGACAATTCATTACCTGAACTTTCAAAACGTGACAATCTAGTACCTGTCATTAATTAGTTGTTAATTTGTGGTTAAGTGACATTTGAAAAAGACACAAATGCCCTTTAAGTGTTATTTAATTTTCTTTATTAACCATCTAAACACCGATAAAAAATAACAGTCCCAAATCCTTGCTTTTCCATTCAAGAAAGTTGGGGTCATGTTTGAATAGAAGAAGTAAGGATTTGGGACGATTAATTTTTTGTCAATGTTTGGATGGTTGATAAAGAAAATTAGATGACACTCAAATGGGCATTTATGTGTTTTTCAAATGCCACTTAATGGCTGGTTAGCAACTAGTTAATGGTAGGTACTAGATTGTCATGTTTTGAAAGTTCGGATACTGAATTGTTGCATTTTAAAGTTTGGGGACCAAAGTGGCACTAGGCCCAAAGTACAAGGTACTAATTGCTAATTTTAGTTTGGTTTTGTCCGGTTTAGCGGTTTAGAATATCCTTAGTCACAAATGAACACAATTAGACCTGTTCATGGGCTAGACTATGTCGGATTCGAGCCGAACTTGTATATGTATCAACAGAGTACACTCAGGCCTAAGCCCGAACCCGACCTGACCATCAGGCCTAGGTCTTGAGCCCAAGTCTGAGCCTGGCCCGGCCATCGGGCCTAGTTATTGAGCCCAAGCCCGAGCCTCACTAGAAATTTGGAAACAGATTTTTTTTTCTCTTTTTATTCAATAAAAAAGTGTTTTCTTTATATTAAAAACCTTCAAAACTCAAAAATAATAAAAATCTTACTATTACTTGAAAAAAGAGAAGAACAAATAAAAAATATTATATATATATTTTTATTAAATAAAATATATTTTTATTATTTAATGTATAGTATCAAGTCAAACTCAGACTCGGCCTAAACTTTTTGAAAAAACCCAAGCCCGGCCCAAAAAAATCAACCTAGTATTTTAAGCCCGAACCCGCGGGCATAAAATTATAAACAAGCCCGACTTATAACGGATCGGCCGGGCCAGCCCGTCGGAGTACCCGGCCCATGAACAGGTCTAAACACAACTCAAACGACGAGAAACTCCTCGTAGTCAAACTGTTCGACAACAAAAGGAGAGACAAAGCCATTCAAGTCCGTGAAAAGGTGGACGGCCCCAGCGAATGAACGGTTCGAACATCGCAGTCATGTGGTGGGACCCTTCAATAACAATGGTCCAATTCCGACATACATTTAATACGTCAACGTTTCTAAACGAGTCTTCCCAACAATAGTAAAAGGATGATTATACCCTGTATTAGGAATCTAATTTCCCCAAAATCTTTTGTTTAATTACAAATTTTAATCAATCTTTAAAAATGAATCGGTCCAGCTTGCTATAAGAGCCTAAGAAACTGATATAAAAGAAAAAAATGGTGTAGTGGTACTTTCGTGAATAGTTGCATATTCCAGGGCATACTTGTTTATATTCATATTTCATTAATTATTAATCTAAAAAAATTATTCTTATAACTTATAAGCAGCTCATTTCTCTAAAAAAAAAAAAAAAATCGAATAAGCAGTTAAAATCGTCGTCCTCTCGCGCTCTTACCAGGGAATAGAAAGAGCGCTTGAACTCGCTCCTTTTTCGCCGATCGGAGTTCTTGAGGGCGACGTCACCACTCTTCTTTCGTTCCAGAAGCAGTGCGAGAGCAAATTTGAACTTGCATTTCGCAAGGTTCGCCTTCTATTAAAATTCCCTGTCATGGCTTCAATTCGATCACGCATTTTGATTTTCTAGGGTTATCTTACTCCAATCCATCTTCGGTTTCTAATTTGGGGTTTAAATGTTTTGGTTTTGAATGGATGTTTTTTTTTTTCAGCTTTGGTTCCAGAAGTTGTTTTTGTGGAAATTGTGTTTTATATTTTCTTTCTTTCTTTCTTTATTTTCTTGTTTTATTATTAATTTTTTAATTTTTGTACTTCTGATTTGGTTTTAGGATTCGAACTTTTGAACTCGGAAGTTGAAGACGTCGTTGATTTGTTGAATTGTTTGTACAGGGATTTAGGTTCCTTACCGGAAGATGCTAATGGTGGAAATTTAGAAATTTTTGTGACAATTGAGGCTGTGCATTTGTACCATGCGCTCGTTTTGGTTGAACTCGGGGTCGTCGTCGGATCAGAGTAATGGAGGCAACGACCGTGCTGAACTGTACCTTAATGTCTATGACCTCACTCCTGTAAACAATTACCTCTACTGGTTCGGGCTTGGAATCTTCCACTCAGGAATAGAACGTATGAGAGTCCTTTTTTTTTTCGACTCTTTAGTTATTAACTTGATTTCTTGTTTGGTTGAGGCTAGACATTTATGGTTGCTTCTTTAAGCATTAGTTATCCTGTCGTGGAGGATGTTTTCATAATGCAGTATGAGTTTTCTTTTGTTCTTCGTTTCTTTTTGTTTTCTGTAAAAATTATCCTGATAAAAGGGAAAAAAATTCGCTCCTTCCTGCAAGGAGGGCGGATAACTAAGGGTGAGAACAAACCCATCAATGCGGAAGTTCTCTTTTTGGATAACAGAATGAGAGTTTAATTGTGAATGAAGTTTTTAATTGCTGTAGTTGAATGAGATCCTTCATTGCTAGGTAGATTAAAAGGATAGAACACCTCATCACTAGGTAAGTTTCAATAGAAGTTCCCTGCAGATTCTGATAAACAGTAGCTATCTATGTTCTATGATAACGAGGATTCATAGTTTGAATGGAAATGTATAGGACGTGGGTTTAGAAAGAAGAGCTGCTCTGCTCTTCCCTTAGAAATCCATTTCTCATTCTCCCATCCTCTATTTTATCAGAGGTAATCCTGTTAGTTTGTCATTAAGTGTGAGATTTTAGGGAGACCTTTCCAAGGTTGTATTCTATTTCTCTTCTCGGTAATTTTCTTATTGCTATTGGTAACAGTGAAAGATGATTTTATTGGTGAGATGAAAAAGGAAAAGGCCCACCTTCCAAAGAATTAGGAAAATGGGATACTGCACAAATAGCCTAAGGTTGATATAGAATTGCATTCAGTAGAAAGTTACTACTGCACTTCTAGTCCCGAGGTCCAGTGCCCCCAAATCAATCTTCAGCTCCGCTTTGTTGACCCTTTTCCAAGTTAGAGCATCAGCGCTCTCATCCATGGATCCTGGAACCCATCTGAATGAATAGTTCAGAGATGAAAATAAGTATTTTGTTTTTCTCAAAGACCAAGGACAGCCTTTGTAGAGGAGAACCAGTTAATCAATAATCACTACTTGACTGTTCTTTTCTAAAATCATACCATATCAGCCCAGAGTAAACTAGTCCAAGGCCTTGAACAGTGTCAAATAAGGTTATGTCATTACTGCTGGGCTCGATAGCTAAGTATGATGTTTTCAGCATGGTGCTTGAGTATGACACCTATTCTATATGCTCTTTGATTTCTGTGGCAGCAACCATCGATGTTCAATTTTATTCTTTCCAAGGTTCAAAATATCGATACGCTGGTAGAGGTGTATCGGGCAGTATCGGTAGTTTTTTTAGTTTTTTTTTTTCAAATCCGGTTCAGAGGGGTTGGTCCACCCCCTGAACCGGTCAAAACTTCGATACACCCTCTGTAGGGGCATATCGGGAAGCTCCCAATATGATATGTATTGGCCGATATGGGCTGATATCTAATTTGATGATTGAGCTTGTATTTGGTTTGGGTTTGCCCAATTTATTGCACTTCTTTTGCATTAAAGAAAAAAAGTTCTCACTTATTGAACTTAGTATCGGCCAATTAAGTTTAAACAATATATGGAGACAAAGTTATGGTGCTTTAGTACCATACTTATGCTGCATTAAAAGTCTTTGCCTTTAAACTTAAAGTTATTGATACATAATACATGGATATATACATGGATGCTTGAATACATGCATATGTACATATACACATGTTTATATGATATTTGTATATGCAAATATGAAGACATGTCAGGTTTGGGATGGTTGGGTTGCCCAAGGCTTCAACCCTAACCCAACCCAAAGTTCTACCAGGTTTGTATTCTTCAACGCTAACCCTAACTCAACATATAACTTAGCTCAACCTTTTTTTTCCAGGTTGGATTTGGACTAATACAACCCAAGTTGCATTCCTATCCCTACATAGTTGTCAAAATCTTATGGTTTACAATATGATTGATGATTTGAATCTTTAAGGGGGTTTTGATTCAAACATAATGTCCGGATCCTCTTTTATAAAATTCTTACTATTATTGTTAGAATCCTATGGTTTTATTTGTGACTCTTATGATTTATACAATTTGTGCAATTCAAATCAATTCACTTAAGACCTAGTTTTCTACTTTATCATTCCTTTGATTCTTTTAATTTTTCAAGGGGATTTTTTTAAAACCATTATTGGCATTTGATTTATGTAGATTATTTAAGATCTATTTAGAAACCTTGTTGAGTTTTTCAGTCTTGGACGACGATGATGATATGTGGGTTAAAGAGCCATTATACAATATGCTAGTTAGTTTTGGGACTTGGGACTTGGGAGGGTGACTGAAAAAAATCAAGCTCTGTTAGGGAAATGGTTGTGGCGATGGCCATTGGAAAGTGAGAGACTGCGGCATGAGGTGGTGGGAAGCATTCATGGGAGTTTAGAGAATGGATGGGATGCTGGTGTATCAAAGCAAGCTAACCTGGCAGCACCTTGGAAGGCCATTCACAACACCCTTCCTCAATTCCTCAAATTTATCAGGTATGAAGTTTGTTTTGGCAATGCTGTTCGTTTTTGGGAGGATATCTGGGTAGGAGACACCCCTTTAAAGGACCTTTTCCCTTTGCTATTTTCTATTTCTTTGTATAAAAAGGAGGTGGTCTCAAAATTTGTCTCACCATTGGGAACACTCTTGGCTCCTAATTGGGATTTTGGGTTTCGTAGAGGACTAAGGGATGATGAAATTGAATCTCTCTCTGATTTGCAGGCCAGTTCCCCCAAGGCCCCAAAGATTATGGCATTTTTTTGGGAAGTATTCCATGGGAAAGTAAACCCTCTAGATAACCTACAAAAAAGAAAACCTTTCCTCTATATTTCTCTCAATTGGTGTATCCTCTGTCGAGCTCACGGTGAGGATTGTTATGATCTACTAATATCTTGCCCCTTTTCTGCAGACCTTTGTTCTTGGCTACTTTCGTTGTTTGGGAGTAGTTGGAGTCTACCAGCAGAAGTTCGCATGCTCTTCAAGCATTCTACTTTCTTTTGGCCTACGAAAAGATCGAGACTTATGTGGAGATGTGCTCGTGTTGCCCTGATTTGGACTCTTTGGGAAGAAAGGAATGTTGGAATCTTTCAAGAAAAGGAAAGGAGTAGTCAGGAATTGAAAGACTGTGTGCTGCATAGAGCAATACTTTGGCTGAAGACTTTGGAAATCTTTCATCAATTATCTTTTAATAACCTTTGGAGAAATTGGTCAGCAGTAGCGAGGTGTTCACCCCTAAAGGACAAATCAATTACAAGCTGGTTTCCTCCATCTGAAGGCTCATTGAAGCTGAACTTTGATGGAGTAGCATGGGTAATCCAGGATTGTTCAGAATGGAGGGTGTTTTGAGAAATGAGAAGGGAGAGATTTTGTTGCTCTACTCGTGTCCTTTAGGAGTTGAGGACTCTATTAGGGTAGAGCTATTAGCTGCTGTACAAGGGGTGCAATTTGCAAACCAGTTGGGGGTACAACACCTAATAATTGAAGGGGATTCCAAAGTGGTGGTGTGCTGGTTGAAAAATCCTAAAGATGCTATATGGCGCTACAAGAATGAAATGAAGAAATTCAGTTGGTTGACAAGGAATATGTTGGTCTTTGTACAGTGGGTGAGAAGATCAACAAATACTTTGTCCGATGTGTTAGCCAAGCAAGGGGTAAATAGGGAAGAATTGTTTTGGGCTCAGTTGTGATTCCTGTATTTCTTTCCTAGTTTACTTGTAAGATTCAAGGAGGGGCTGCAGCTCACGCCTCTCCTTGGGATGTTGTATGAATTCACAACTCTAAATCAGCTTCTGAATCGATAAATTTACTATTGTTCATAACAAAAAAAACAGATTAGTTAGTTTTTGAGTGATCATCCCCCCACTTGTACTATTAGAGGTAAGATCATATGGAGGCTCTTGAGATCTACAGTCCTTTGACCTGTTTGGGAAGAGTGTAATTGGAGAATGTTCTTAGGCATGGAATAAACCTAATATGCCTGAAAAGACAACATTACCATTGGGGTGGCCAATTGGACTCAGATCAGGGTCCAGGGGAGAGTTTGAAGACTTATCTAAAGATGACATAGTGAGGGAGTGGTCTTTTGTAGATTCCTCATCTTATAGATCAGTGACCCCTTAGATTGGCTCCTCCACACCCCCAACTGAACCCAAACAAAAGGAGTGATTCAACTTAATAATAGTTGCTTGTTAGGAAATCCTGTTATCTTTTGGAACCATGAAGGGAGAAACTGTAGGTAAATTAAATCTGGTTATCATTGTTGATTTTATTTGTGCAGAGCTGTTATCCTTTCTTAGGATCTATCTTTGGTGTATTCTCTTGGTTTCTCTTAGGCTGTGTTTGGTTTGAAGGAAAAAGGTAGGTTACATATGGCTAATAACATATATGTATATATATACACATTTGTTTATTAATTTTTGTTACCATGCAATCACCAAATAGGAATTCTGTTCCACTTTAACCTAGGCTGTGTTTGGTTTGAAGGAAAAGGAAGGGAAAGATAGGGAAACCTATACAAAGTTTGTACAGGTTTGTTTTCCTTTCCCTTCTCCCTACCTTTTCCTTCAAACCAAACACAGCCTTAGGTTAAAATGGAACATAATTCTCATTTGGTGATTGCATGGTAACAAAAATGAATAAACAAATATGTGTGTGTGTGTGTGTGTATGTTATTAGCCATATGTAAGTACTATGGAATTTCATTATAGCTGTTAAGGCATCTAGATGATTCTAGGTGACAATGGAGCACCTAATCAGCTAATCGTATAGGTACCTGTCTAGGCAATAAACTGTTGCAAAGAGAAAGCTAATTCCTAGGTTAGTTCCCTAATTTTACATACCAATCAGCATGCGTATAAATTGAAAAAATTGCAATGCTCTTAATAAAGGTCATTACGCAAGTTGAAACTCGGGGGTATTGGGAGGAATAGACTGGATATGGTATATGTATATGTTGGGTAAATTACTTAAGCCTCCTCTATACTTTGACCTCTGCAAAAGCCTCCCTTCATGTTTTCAAGTAAATATGCAAACACACTCCTTCTGTTAATTGTCATAACAGAAAACATTAATGTAAGGCTTTAAATTTTTAAAATTTTTTAAAATCCCATTTTTTCCCATGAGAAATTTTATTGTATTAAAGATTTACCAAATTACCACTAAAATGTGATTCACTTTATTTAAGTGGGTTTCATTGTTCACTTCATCAAGTGAACAACAAAGGCCAAATTAGGGTTGGACTTAGACCTCTCCCATTAGCAGAAACGCCATACTCAGGCAATCTGAAAAGGGAACAGTGGTGTTAACCATGCACATTTGTAATAGTCGTAATTTTAATGTAAGGCTTTAAATTTTTAAAATTTTTTAAAATCCCATTTTTTCCCATGAGAAATTTTATTGTATTAAAGATTTACCAAATTACCACTAAAAGGTGATTCACTTTATTTAAGTGGGTTTCATTGTTCACTTCATCAAGTGAACAACAAAGGCCAAATTAGGGTTGGACTTAGACCTCTCTCATTAGCAGAAACACCATACTCAGGCAATCTGAAAAGGGAACAGTGGTGTTAACCATGCACATTTGTAATAGTCGTAATTTCAATGTTGCTATTGCAGGATAGTTAATGGAAGAATGTGCATATTTATTTGAAATGTGAAGGGAGAGTTATTCCGTGGTCAAAGTACAGGATAGGTTTAAGTATTTGTCAAAAAACAAAGAGGAGGTGTCATTTGCCCATATATGACCATTTTTTCTATGAATAACAGAAACTGATTTTTTTTTTGAAGGGCTACACGGGGTAGCCCATCCCCCAACCAGGTGCAGGCAGGATTTGATCCTAAGTCTCCGCTATGACCAGTATGAGACCTTACCAACCAGCTGGTTGGCACCTTACAGAAACTGATTTATTAGATTAATAAAGTGAGAGATAAACTCTCTTAACTCTCCCAAAGACGGACTATATATGTTTAACCATAATTATAGAATTTTATCATAGCTGTTAAGGCATCTTGGTGATTCTAGGTGAAAATGGGGCAACATGGATCATTTATGTTTTAATGATAAATCCTTAAACAAAGCATAAATAATATATATAACATATAATTGGATGTATTAACGCACATAGTAATAATATATAACCTAGTAATTATATTACTGTAAATATACTCCTATTGACTGAAATGGGTTAATACATACAGAGTGCATAATTAGTTATCTGCTCCATTAAGATGTTTGTGCCTATATTCTATACCTCCTGTCTTTTTGATTGCTTATGTGATAGCTTTCCAAAACACCTAGTTCAGTGCCCAGTCGACACCTAGATGATACTGTATAGGTCCTTGGCACTTGTGTTGTGTTATTAGAGAAGCTAATTTCTTGGCTTCTAATGCGATTATGGAAACTCCTTGTTCCTCTAGATCTCAGATCTACTGATGAGATAGTTGATTCTCTAGCTAAGTGACGAAGAGTAGGGAGTGAGATGCATTTGGGATTCAACCATTTTAGGGTAGTACAGGGGTGAATTGGATGGGTTGTTTATTTTCTTGTTCTTTGTGTAACAATTCTTATATACTTATTTTTGCTTACTGTTTTAATGGATTCCTTTACTTTTATTACCAATCCCCAAAAAGAAGTTCAATAAAATAATTCCCTTATCTTGCCTTAAAAATGAGCTCATTTCACCTTGTGATTTAACGGCCCCCCTTTTGATTATTTTAAGTTTTTTTTTTTTTTTTTTCTTTTTGTTCTAGAAGGCATTTGTTTGACTTTGAGAGTAAGGAGGCCATTTATTTAGTTGGACTGTTGGACTTTTCTGATGGTGTCTTTCTTGGCCCAATCAATGAACGTGGTAGATTTTGTTTCTAGATAGTCATGGTATCTTTTCTTGCTCCTCTTTTCCTAGGAGTATCAATCCTCAATTTCTCACCACAGTTAAAGCAATCTGGCTTGGTCCAACTCACCCTAAAATTGGACTTTATTACAAGGTTGTGCACCAAAGTCACACATGTGAGATTCTCCAATCTAGAAGGAAAACTTGGTCACCATCTCCATACATGTACATGTGCTTCCTGTGCCAAGCAACGAACAGGGAAACCTACAACTTCTTTATTGTCTTGCACGTATCCTTCAGAAATATGGACCCATCCTTACCACTTTTTGGAGCCATTGGCAGGCACCTATTGATATACCATCATTTTTTGCCACTAGCTTTTTTCTGCCCCCACAAGAAGCATATGCAGTGTTTAGTGAGAGTGGAAGTTAATTCAGAGTTTGTCAATGGACTGAAATATTATGATGTTTTTTCCTTGATAAGGAGTGGCAACAAGGAATCTTATATCTTTAATTTGTCTCATCACCATCTGAAATAAAAACAATGTGAAAAAATAGTAAATGGTTCCACATTATCTAAATCTATTTTACACCAAAACAATCTTAAACTTTGTCCAAATCAACATTGCTAAGAACCGGACATTTTTGGCTGCAAGTTCCTGGCCCAAATAGTTGAACCCAGTATAATCAGACTTTGACAATAGTTATTCATGTCATCATGTCAAGTTTATGGGAGAAAAGAAATAGAAGAGAATTCAAGGATAATCATTTCTCTACTACTCTTTTTAAAAGTTTAATTCTTGGTTAATTCTTGGCTGTTTATCTTTCTGCAAGGATAAATCAAGTCAATCAATCAGGTGATTAGCTTTATTTTTTTACACGTTTGTACTGCAGATAGGTTGACCAATATGTCCTTTCAATAATTTCTGTTCTGGTGTGCAAAAACAAGTCATGCATGTAGTGCTAGTGTGATAGATGGTTGTCACAGACGTTTACATCATCAAAGACTGCTGACAGAAAGAAGGATATTTGTGCATATACAAAGGGATTGTGGGATGCCTAATTTTCTTCTTTCTGATTTAGAGTTTTTTTTGAACATGGCTTATGACACCAACATGGGTCATGTATTTTAGTGGAGTTGACTGATAAAATGGTTTCTGTTACTGCTGAATCATCATTATGCATATTAACAAGATTCTTTTTCCCAAATTGACAAAACAGTACATGGGTTGGAGTATGGATTTGGAGCTCACGAGTACCCAACAAGTGGAATATTTGAAGTGGAACCAAGAAGCTGCCCTGGTTTTATTTATAGACGGTCAGTGCTATTGGGCACAACTGAAATGTCCCGTTCAGACTTCCGTCTGTTCATGGAGCACCTGTCTGGAAACTATCATGGGGATACTTATCATTTGATTGCTAAGAACTGCAACCATTTTACCGATGATGTTTGCATGCGTCTCACTGGAAAACGCATTCCTGGTTGGGTGAATCGTCTTGCCAGATTAGGTAAGAGAGAAGTTACTTCGCAACCATGCTTTCTTTCAAGTGTTCAAAGTAGCTTCTTGACATTTATCTGTTAATCTGGAGAGTGTTGTCATTTCAGGTTCATTTTGCAACTGTCTGCTACCAGAAAGTATTCAGGTAACAGCAGTTAGGCACCTACCTGATCATCACGTATGTTCTGGTGAGTTTTTCCTACTCAAGCATGTACGAAAAGATTTTATTCATGTCAATTGGATATACGAAAAAAAAAAAAATTCTTACTCCAGTCATCTGGCTTATGGAACTTGGTGCATCCTGTAGTTTATATCAAGGTTTTTAAAACCGAACCGGACAACGAACCGGTCAGCAGTGCGGTTCCTGGGTTGAATGGTCCGACTGTTTGAACCGAAATGGATGGCCCATTCTGACAAAAAATAAATAAAAAATAAAAAAAAACTAAAAACGGCCAAAAGTGTTGGATGGTTTGAATGGTTCGGCCGCCCAGGTCAGTGGTTTGCTGACCAAATCAACCGTTTTTGGTGAAATAATTGTTCTGGGGTAAGTTTTTCCGGTCCGACTGTTCAGTCCGGTCCGGTTTTGAAAACCATGGTTTATATATCCAATGAAAGGCAAGAGCATATGCCGATAGACTACAACATACTTGTGTATAAAATATATTAAATATGTATGATGATAGCACCAGGACAGGATGGACCAAGTTGGGCTCGGCCAGGCTTTGAGGTACTTAGCCCAATCCCATCTTGCCAGCCGCTGGTTCTAGGACTACCTCTTTTGATTTTATTTTGTTTTGTTCTATACTTTTTTTCTTTTATTCATTCACATGATGAATCTGGCGTCATGGAGCCTATAAGCCTATTAAATGCCTTCATCATGAACTACAAGTATACCACATAACCGGTTTCAACACATTGTTCTTGGTTCATGATGGAGGTGCATACAAACTCAATGGCTCTTTGACCTCTAGGGGCCAACTGATTTATTACCCTTGCTATTCCATGACCATGTGGAGTTTTCTTCGTCATTTCTCAATCTTGTCTCATGCAAGAAAATCAAGTTTATGCGCATGCAAAATATCTCTCTCTCTGCTGTCTCTCTTTCTCTCTCTCTCTCACACACACCCCTTTTGGCCCTCCAATTTTGACTGGTCACTTATAAAATACGATTATGCAGATATTGAGTCAGAATCTGTTGCATCATCACCATCAGCAGGGAGTGAAGAGGAAGCAGACCATCATTTACTAACAATGCCAAATGGTGATGTGGCATTTCTAAGGGAAAAACCAGTTAGGCTTGCACAGGAGGTCCTGTGATTCTTTTAGTACTTCAATCTTGTATCTGTTGTTTGTACCAGTAACTATTTATCTGAATTGTATCAATTGGCACTTAATTTTCTTGGTTCTGATTGGGTGGCCTGAGGCTCAGATCTCTGTTGCTGGACGCTGATGTGATGGATCGAGGTCCTAATATTTTGCCCTACCCTAAATTTGTTTCTCTGTACATTCATACTTTTGTTTCCCAAATTCTACTGCGCAAGTTGTAATTTGTGCCATATGGAACGTAGATTTAATGAAATTAATGTGTACAGCTCTTCTTTTACCGTACTAAATATAGTGCTTTTGGGTTGAAGAGAGATGGCTTGGTTTAGTGATTGATCATGTTGGGAATCTTACAAATGCATAAAATCCTCCAATCCCTGGTTTTGTTTCTATAAGCTATAATGAAAGAGTTTCATTTTCTCTCTTTCGGTCCATTTTCAAACTTTCTAAGTTCCAATAATATCCTTCTTTATTTGTCTTTTTGCTACATCTTTCGTTGATTGCTTTTTTATCGAGTCAAAACATAGGAGCGGTACATGGCAATGCCCTGTTTTACCCTCCTATTGTTCCTATATTTTTACCGGCCTAGTATATCTGCCATAGTTTTCAAAGCATCTAGGCGATTCTGGGGGATAATGGGGCACTTAGTTGCCTAGGTGATAAAAATTTTATAATATAAAAAACTGACTTTTGCTAGTTTACTAGTTTTATATGCCATTCAGCATCTATACTAATTGAAAAAATAGCAATTCTCTTTATTAAGAACATTAAGTTTACTCTAAAAATGTGGAAAATCATCACATCTAAAAGATATAAATCTTTTACATATATTAATTTCATTATTTTAAAAATAATACTACTATAATAAGTATTTAATAGAGCAAATTCATATTAATTAGTAGCTAAAGATGGTTATTAACTTTATATGATAAATATTCAAGATGGAAAGTAAAATAAAAAAAAAACAAAGGTGGAGTTTCTGTTTTATTTAATTAGAAAGAGAATAGAAAAAAAGAACTTTATTATTCTATTCTTTCTTTTCTCTTTCTTTTATTTCTTTGTTTTTTTCTTCTCAAAACCCTTTGATCTTTTAAATTTCAATAGTAAAACATTAAAACAAAGTATAATTGTATATATATATATACATATGATAAAATGTATTAACACATACATTAATAAGATACAACAATATAAACGATATTATAAAAGGCATCCGTCTTGTCATTTTTGTCGCCTAGGCAGGTGCTTAGTCACCTAAAAGGGCACCTAGTTGCTAAAAGTCAAGGCGTTTAGACGAGGCGCCCAGCCAGGGGCGCCTAGTTGCTTAGGCAACGCCTTGACAACTATGATATCTACTTCTTAGTTTGCCTTGTGCAGTCACCTATGAAGAGACTTTTTTTTTCAAATTTAAAAAATATAGGGTAAATTACAAAGACCCCCCCGTACTATGGGGTTTGTGACAAAGACCCCCATGTACTATGATCGTGAGACAAAGACCCCTTTCTGTTAGCCTTCCATATTGCCCTTGCAATAACTATTCAGACAATTTTATCCCTCTTTTCATGTTTTATACATTTTCTCACCTTATTTCTCCCTTGCAATCAAGGGATTTCTCCTTTGTGACCAAGCTCCGATTTATAGTAGCAAGGGACATCTCCCCCACGAGTTTCAATCGCATGGGATTTCTTCCTCACGAGTTTCAGTCACAAGGACGAAATACCTTGGTTATTTATGATGTCCTACTTTGGTGAGTTATCACTATTAGGGGTTATCACTGTTAGTATCAGTTTTCACTTCTTCTATAGTTCTATTAGGGTTGAGGCGACCTCCAATACATTAGTATTGACATTGGTATTGAATGAAATACCTTGGTTATTTATGGTAATGAACGAAGACAACTAGCATGACTATAAATCTTTTATTTTAAACTTCTTTTCAATCTTTAAAAACTAACTTCAACTAAGCCAATAACTTACTTATATGTCTTGTTAATTAGTATATGTTTTTTTGATCATGTGAGTATGAAATTCTTATCCTCCCATTGCAAGTAGTGCTACTGCAAGCAACCCTAACGGTTACTACAAGCAACCCATTGTAAATAGTATCAACAAACCATTTTCTCTAATTTTAGTTCACTTACCCTGAAAGATTTTAATTTTTAGTTCATTTGGTATATATGTTAATGTTCAACTTATTTTTCATCCCATAGTTTTTATCATAATAATACCCTTTATGTTGTCCTTCCATGCTAATTGAACTGAATTTGTAGAACTAAGTTCTGTAGGCACAAGCAGTGTTTTGAAAAGTATTTGAGGCTTATGTCAAGGTGAATCTCAAGGAAAATGCATTGTGGCAATACCTAATAGTATAAAGAACATTCCTCACAACTTGAGATGCCTTTCAGGTGTTTATACTTTGTATATGCACACCACTACCTATTATGCTTGTACATTTCTAATGTCATTTTAAACCATTATTAAACATTTAAATCTCTTTAATAGTTATTAAACGATTTTCAAGATTGTTACAACTTTCCTTGTAGCTTTTAATATTTATAACTCCTATGATGATATCCTTAAAGGGTGCTGATTTTCATTTGGCGCTAAACATATAATGCATAACAAACAATGTAGCATCTCTAGTAATGAATGAATAGTGTTTGGTGGTGTGACAACCATTCACAATGTTATGGTTTAGTCATTTCTTTTGTGTTTTTAATTTTTTGTATATTATTTTTCCAAGAAGGAGCACAAGTTATGTGCCGCTAATTTTAGGTTGATTAATGTTCATGAAGTTAACTGAACTTGTTTGAAGTTTTCTTATTTAATGTTTTCTCATTAATGTTAATCTTCATGAAGTTTTCTCATTTAATCTTTAATGAAGATTAATACTAAGGAAATTCATTGTTCAGTAATTGTAGATTAGTTCTCATTAAGTAAAATGAAATATAATATTAATGAAAGAAATTATTTATTGTAGAAATGAGTGAACACTCAACTTTCACATTACAATCACCAAGTAATTTGATGTTTGAGACAAAGTTTTGTAATTGTCGAAAAAAGTGTCATTAGGGTTTTTGAGACGGATTCAAACCCACAGAAGCTGTTTTATACATGCTCTCACAAAGTTGTAAGTGACATGATGGTCACTTTCTTCGCAACATGGCCATTGTTCCTAATTGTCTTAAAAAAAGGTATTTCATGCCATTTTGGGAAAACAACCAAATGTCAAGCCTTGTAGTTTTTTTGAATGAGTCGTTTCCATCAATCACTTAGAAGAGGTGAGTTCACATATGTGCAATGATGATGCCCAAGCATGCCGTGTGAGGGAGCTAGAAAAGTTTCTAGGTGAGTTGAATGACTGGGTGAAAACTTTAGAGAGCAAGTCTGATAAGATGTTAATTGGGATCATGCACTTCTTAAAAGTTATTGTTTAGCAAGTCTAACCCAACAATTGCTTCAACATTGTCAACAGGATCACCAGGGTTCCTGGTGACATCACTATCCTCAGCCTCATCCTCAAAACAATCATCAACATCATACTCAGCTATCAATTCTTCTTTCACCTCACATTCCAATTCAAAATCATGATCACTCTATCAAACCCATATTCAAACCAAAAGACAACATCAGCATCAAGATCAACTTCATTCACATTATCAGCTAAACTGGATGGTAATGGTGGTGGAGGTGGTGGTTCAGCACTAGATGAATCAACCCTTGAAAAACATCTATGACATTACTGCTTGTGACAACCCTACATCAACTCTCTTACACCTTGTCACATATATATGAATGTGTCTACAATCCTCATGAACCTTACACATCTTTAATATATCCCCATCACATTTCAACCTTACCAACCCATCATCTATACTTGCATTCGTCCTCCTGTAATATACCTCATCAATCGAATTGTAACCAAGGTTTTTCACCAATAACTGTATTTCAATGAATGATAATATGTCAACATCAACATTATGTTTAATAAAGACATCACAACAAGTGTATATCATTAGTGGTAGGTTCAGAAAGTAACCACCATGGTGTATGTTCATACTGTATATATTACTTGACGTCTGTGCAAAAAACATGTACACAAGCATTAGTGGTAAAATCATAAACAATATAATGTTGATTTACACTCCAAGGAGATAAGAAATAATTTGGCAAATATAAGTAAATTTCTCCATCATTCATCAAACAATTTAAGTTTGGACTTTGTAACACATCAAGGGCTGAAACACATCCCCCCTTCCCCCTCTATGTTTTAGTTCCCCCCTTCTTTAGTTTAGCTCAAGAAGGACTGAAACACATCAAGGGCTGAAACATACAAATTATATATAATTTGTCCAAACTTGTCATAAGAAGCAAAAATCAGTATAATAACCATCACAATTGTAAGAATGAGCCAAAATTCATTATAACTGCGACAAAGATTTAAAATAATTATTAATGATGATAACTTCTCCCCTCAACAAGTCCTCATTTTCTGTTTTTTTTTTTTTTTGCAATTAGTTCTTTTAATTATTTTATGTAATTTACCAAGTTTTTCTAAGGCAAGAGGCCAGCCAATAAGAATAAGTAGGGCTTGGAGTGCTCCATTTTCCCCCACAAAGAACTTCATATGCAGCAACATTTTGAATTTTTTATTCCATAAATTTTGAATATTGACATTTGAACTTCAAAAGTTTTAACTGCTTAGAAAGCATGAACAAAGTTTGTAATGCTCCACTCTTGAATCTGTGGAACTTTGTTATTTAGACATTAAATGCCTTAGTCCTGAAGTTTTTTTGTCATCAACTATTACGAATTTTTACATTCGGTAAGCATTTGCAATAGCATTTAGATTACTGTCTTTGTGTCTGTCAAATACAAAAGAAAATAAATATTGTCATTACGTTTTCACAATGATGCTTTAATTTCAATAAATTCAATCTCAGTTCTGCTGTACAATTTAGCCAATTTGGTAGCTGACATAACTATGTACTTGAGTTGCTAAGGACAGAAGGTTGTCACATTGCTGTTAAATTCATAGTAAGGATTTGGATGGTCACCTAGATGAGATTCGTTAATACAATCTGTAATAGAGGAACACTTGACATTTATTGGGCCAAGATAATTGTATTATTCCCCTTCATGTAACTGAAATAGTTCATAATAGAAGCAATAAAAAGAATGTTTAACAAAGATAACATTAAAATAAACACGTAGGTTCTCCTGGCATTAATGCCTAGATGTTTCATTAGGAATTAACACCTTCATAGTGCTTTTGTTTTAACTACTTAGAAAGCTTGAGTAAAGTTTGTAATGCT